CACTGGGTCATAGAGACGGGTCATACTAACATAACTTGAGCTTTTAACGATCACTATAGGCAATAGATACCTACTTGGCGGACTCAGAGGGGAATATCACTCATTGCTATAAAACGTTTTAAGTGGCCGTTTAATTTAACGCTACTAATCATACACTAACATTGAGATTAATTTATTTCGTAGTAATACGTAGGTAAGGACTTACGTTACGAAACGTATGTCCATCCATTCCTTTCCGTATTCCAATAACTAATTGCTTGTGATCACTAAATGTGTTGTGCACTTTGTTTTAATCTTTGTCCAAAATAAAATCTTAAATTCCTATTTGATTTACATTCTTATTGTTTAAACTTCTTCTTTAGCCTCACTGAAGGCATGCACCTCTATTCAGATGGAAATAAATGTTACCTACATATTATGTTTTTCTAAATTTCAGAATATTCTTTGACTTGTGCTAACAATGATAACTGTGATGCCTATGAAATATTTTAGTAGACAGACGTCATTATAGTATGTTATGATTTCAGGTGTTCGCTGGATATCTCACAAGTTGTACGCTTTGGCCGTTTGGATACGGTAAGAAATTCTTTAGAGCATGTTATATAAAAATATATGTCCTTACTTAAATATAAATATCTATTATACTAATGTTGGCAAATTGTTTCAGTGGCAAACTCTTCAGCAAGCTAAGCATGGTAAAGTCGAACTGCGTCTTTCTTGGCACCGTTTGACTTCCGATGTGTCGGAACTTAGCCGCGTGAGTACCTAAACATCTTACCTACAAGACCTGCATACATAAAGACATAGTCAGATATTCTACTAATGTCATATATATTTGTATTACAGGCACTAACAGAGACCCTGCTCATCAAGACTGGAGAATTGAGCTCCGCTGTCTTATCTGTTTACATCGACTCATGCAAGAAGTTACCTGTAAGCGTCTTATTTTCATGTTTTTTTATATGTATATTTGATGGGCCGACGTTTGACCACTATCTCGCCTAGTGATAAGCGATGATGTGATTAAGAAAAAACTAAACAACTACAATGATATACTTTTCCCAACAGAACGCTCGCACGCAATCTCGGCCCGACCCCTACCTCACGTTGACTGTGGGTAAAAAGACTGAGACTAGCGCCGTCCAAATGAGGACCGACGATCCAGTCTATGAGATCGGATACTCGTTCCTTGTCCAGAACCCTGAGTGCGACAACTTGGAGATCAAGGTAGGAAGTGATGATTAAAAAACTATGGTTTCATTTCCAAATATTTTGTTACAATAAATCGAACCAATGATATCGTTACAATTTTCAGGATACGTCCTTTAATTTATCACGTTTGTTGTAGGTTTTAGACTCTAAAACGGGAGGTCAGCTTGGCCAGCTGACATATTCAATCTCAACTCTACTTAAAGAAAAAGACCTGAGCATGATTACCCAACCGCTGATGCTGCAGCGATCCGGACCGGAGTCCAAAATCATTATGTCTTTGCAATTAAAGGTAAATAGGTACTTCACTACTGTCACATATTGGAAATGTGTGATGACGTATTTAGTTTTTGAATGAATTTATTGTAACCAACAATACATGTGTTAACGTAAAAATCTCGTTTCCAAAGATTTTGAAGGAGGCTATCAAGGAAGAGGACTACGAAGAAGAGCCTCCAGCGCCGGCGGTGGTAGAGACTCCAAAAGAACCATCGCCCCCCGCCCCCGCGGCTCCACCCTCACCTCCATCTCCAGCTGTCTCTGATGAGCCTGGACCGCTAACTGACCCTGGTAATCCATTGATTATCAACTTAATATTAGAGTCATATTTTTAACAACTAATTGTGAATGGTGATAATTTTACGTTATAATAATAAACAACAGTCATTTTTACAGTTTGACTTAAGGAGGCAAAATAAACATAGTTTTTACAAAAGTTAGCAGTGGTATTACTTCAAAAATATTTTCCTACATTTAACTGTCGTATGATAAGTAAGTTTTATAAAAACATTTCTTGCAGTGACTGTACTACCTGAGCCGTTAGTCAGGAACGTTGAGGACGCTCTTCTAGACAGTAGCTCACAGAAATCCGTGCCTTTGGAGCATATTGAAAAGGAAGTTGGTGAGTCAAATTTGATACAATCCTATTTTCTCAATACTTCGAATTTTTAGTTTCCTCAATCCTCATACACAATTTTCACTCGAAAGCCAACTTTACATTTAGAAAAAGTTCGTCTGTGTAACCTCTCTAACAATGGCGTCTCTCAAAATTAGAAGAACGTATTCTGCTTAGAAGGCTCTGCATTATTCGCCTATCATACCTCAATATTTATTTATTTATATTTAAGAACACCTTAAACTATCATTACAGTCAATATACGTGCTGTACAACTCGTCTAGAATTGATTGGTAAAATTTTAGACGGGAGCAATTATTTTTATTCCGTTTCATAGTCCCATCCCGAAGTCACGGTCCCATGAATGGCCTTTAGTAATAGACTGTTGTATTACAGACACACCTCAAGAATATCAACCCCCAAAATCACCTGAGCGCGAGCCGCCGTCGAAACTTGTGCATAGAATCTCTTCATTGACCACGTAAGTTGTACTAAGTATATAAATATTACTATATTTTTGATATAATAGAAAAAATAAATAAACAAAGATTACCTAAAATTATGTTTGGTACAGGTCAGCAGGAGAAGCCGGCCTCGGCCGTATTCTGCTCTCACTTCGCTACAGCATGCAAAACCAAACTCTCTTCGTGGTTGTGCACAAAATTATGTAAGTTAACCTTCTAACGTGCTTATTAGTAGAGTTACAAAACCGCTCTTATTGCTTACAAAATAAAATCACTTTCAATGTACCTACTATTCCATGTGTGCAATTTTATTGGTGTGTATGTATTCTATTGTTTTGTATAGGCACATACCACTGAAGGACCCGACCAATGTGCCTGACCCTTACGTCAAGTTGTACTTGCTGCCTGGCCGCTCCAAAGACTCCAAACGTAAAACTGTGGTAAGTGATAACCAGAAATCATATAAATAGTTTTTTTTTTAAATATAAATTTAAAAAATATAAATAGTTAATTCAGAAATAATGTTTTAAGAGTAATATTCCATTTTTTCTTTCGGTTAGAGGTCACAGGACTGTGAAGCTCTGATTGATTGTGCAAAAGGTGTCGACTTGTCAAGTATTACATACTTACCTATATTATCTCTTATTAGGTACTTTCAGGAAACAAAAGGCGTAGTCATATTGCTTACACAAAATGTTGTTTTTATTTTTGTTTAACAGGTTGTGAAGGACAGTTGCATGCCAGAATATGACGAGCAGTTCGAGTGGGTGATCCCATTAGCTGAGCTGCATTCCAGGCAGGTGGAGGTCACTGTCGCCACGCACAAGGGTTTCTTGGGAGGCAGTCCTGTCATTGGACAGGTAAACCAAATTACTACTTGATTATGTTCCTCGTCTAGTTATATTCATATAAGTGAAGTGAAAGTATTTTTTTATTACTTCAACTGGTGTTATAAACAGTATTTAAGAATGTTTTTGTTAATTCTATCATTACAGGTAGTGGTACATCTCAACCAGTACGACTTCCGTGAAGCTAAAACAATGTGGTTCGACCTTTTGCCGGAGACGTCGCCAAGAGATTAGACCGGGCATAGGTGCCTATGTTCTAAATTTTATGAAAGTACTTATGAATCTTATATTTTGCGTATTGCAGACGCCATATTGCTGATCTGATTGTTAACTATAATGTTCATTGTTCAAATCGCATATTATGACAAAGTATTATGAAGGCTTTTTGTAATAAAAAAAACTTATTTCCATGTTATGTAGTTGTTGATTAAATCTATGTATTTTTACACTTGTTGACATTGTTATGAATGCTTTCTATGTTTATTTATATCTCTAAAAATATGTACCTATCTCCTATTATTCTTGCTTATGATAATACAGTGTTGTTATACGAAGTCAGACTAATGTCAAGTTAGCTTATGATTATTATTATTAATGCATTTAAGTCAAGTCGCATATTACTATATTTTGTGAAAGTGATTGAAGCTATATTTTGTTTGTTACTTTTATATCGCTATAAGTGTCGTCTTTGAGCATTAAATATTTTAAAAATAATCCTGTTTTGTTTTAATTTAAATAAATACCTAGTTTTCGATTAATTTGTGTTCTGTGAATTTTTTTTTTTTTAATAAACTAAAACCTTTTTCTATGTGTAACAAATACTTTACTGATCACCGCATCAAAATTGGTTCAGCCAATCACGAAATAATCGTGCACAAACATACATACATAAATACAGGTGAAACTGAGAACCTCCTTTTATCTAATTGGGGCTGTTCAAGTATTGTGTAAGCACCATGGGGGTGGGTTAGTGGGGTTGAATCTATTTTGCTTACTTTGAATGATATGGGGAGTAGGGGAGTCTAGATGATGATTACGTCATTGGTAGTTATTTACTTTTTTACACGAATGGCAATCCTCATATTGAAATTGTAAAGCACAAGCAAAGACCGACAAGAACGAGACATTATGGTATCTAAGAGAATATGAAAATTACAATTAATAATGTTAAAATTGATAATGTTTACGTAAGCAAAGGGGGAGGGGGTAGGGTCTTTGCTTACTTTTACTGACAAGGGGGATGGGGGGGGGGGTAAATAATTGTAAAAATCTGCTTACATAATATTTGAACGGCCCCATTGAAGTCAGTAAATAAAAAAAACTTCAGCACTCGGTGCTTAGCTTATTTGAGCTATAACACCGGTATCTGGTAATGTAGGTAAAATATCAGTAAATGCTTGTGTGATTTGTAAACATTATGTAATTAATGGAACAATCTAAATAGGTTAGATGAAAAATATTTAATACATTAATCCACACTCAGATGTAATTGAACACAGTCACTAGTAAAACATATTTCACAGTCTTCCTTAAAGTTCTGAGCTTATGATAAAGCATGGTCTTCACATCACTTCAATTATTACATCAACGTTCCATGGGAGCTGGAACAATTTTTTGTGCAATGATTTTTCCATAGCCGCCTCTACCTCCATCATAATCTGTTCTGTACTCGTCTCGAACCTAGAAAATCCATAGACTTTTAGTAAATATGGTAACATTATCAAATATTAACTCATCGAGTACCGGTTTTATAGACACAATTAAAGAACAATAGGTCGCGGTCACCGGTGACCGCTTGGTGTTTGACAGTTTAATGACAGTCAACACTATGAACAGCTTTACTGAAACATTAATTCAGTAATATAAAAGATAATAGAATACACTATACCTGTCCTCCAGTTTTGCCTCTCCCATACTGTCTGCCTTCAATAAATCCTGCATCCCAATCACAACGGATGATTCGATCGTCAAGTCTTGTACCATTTATGTACCTGTAAAGTTTAAGTAGCTATTACCAAGAGATACTGTGGCATGCAATGTCATAACACTTATTAATAATACACAATTTATTATTAAATTATGAATTATGAAAAATATTAATGTTATGCATATTAAAGAATTTATAAAGAAAACACAATTGTAAGTCACCAATAAATGTAGGAATGGAATAATCTGGGCAGGAAAATTGTATGTATTACTATGCTCTTAAACAGTAATCCACTGAATGTTTAAGTTTAATTAGTTAAATGGTTGATGTAAGTCATTTCTGTTTTATTTTCAGATTTTTGCACATTTTTACTAGTAAGATAGAAAGAAAATGCATAGTCGATCATACTAACCTCATACAGTTTTCTGAATCTTCTCTAGTATAATATTCCACAAAGCAAAATCCGCAGGGAGTCTTTTTGTACTTATCTAAGCCCATTATTACTCTTCTAATATCACCGCATCGTGAAAATAATTCGTATATTTGTTCTTCTGTTGTATAAAATGACAGGTTCCCCACGTAGAGTGTTGATGACGTTTTCAATAACTTTTCTTGCTCACTACGGGAGCCCTAAAAATGTAAAACGAAAATATTGAAAGTAATTTAGAAAAAAATAGTTCGTCTGTTGCCAATTTATGAAAGACCGTCGAATTTCACACAGAAATAAGGAAACAAAATACCTTGAAGTGTTGATCACGATAAGAACTTATTTCAATGGATGAATTCATAGCTCCGAAACTACGTTTCATACCAATTATTTAATTCTAAATATACATCCAATTGCAGTGTATCTGTAAGTAGAGCACGGTGGTTTTAATTTTTACAACTCAACAACACTAACAACGCTTCACAAGCTCGTAATTACTGACAATGAGAGAGTGACAACTGACAATAGTGACAATTTATATTTTGGCAATGACAAGAACCAATGACGTAAAGAACGTTATTGCCAGAAAAATTAAATAAATGAAAAGGCTTTTACATTCTTATATTCTCTACTTACAAACTTATATAATGAATGGTACAGATTGTCTATTTCACAGACATATAAGGCGTAGCAGACCAAACAGTGTTTGCATTCTCAATTAAAATACATTAAATAAAGAATAGTATGTTTTAATAACGCACTTTTTATGGTACTAATATCAGGTAATAGTCATCTCCCTCCCATCAAAACCACTGACCACTTCCAAGACAAGCTCTTTCCTTGTCCTGTCCGAGTGAGCGGAGCGAGCATCATGTTGTACAATCCTAAGTATTTCCGGTATATGATGATATTCTTTGATGATAATAAGTAATTGTGATAAAATTTATACATAGTATACAATTATTGGTACATACTACAGTATAACAACTACTACTGTAAAATCAAGTTTCTTAGATTTTTCAACTTTGTAGTAACAATTACTCAATATGGAAACAATAACTCATTATTTGTTTAAACTTTCGAAATTCTAAATCCGTCCTCTGTTGATTCTACAAGTACTTGAGCTGAATGAAAAATTAAATTGATTTTGTTTATTATTTTTGTTCATGGTATTCTAAGTAAACTTATGAGCAAATAGCGTGATACCTAATTGAAAAGATTTCGTTTTAAACGATTACACTTCATCAAAACAGTTGATTTATTTTAAAAAATAGACAAATTTTTGTAGTCTACATTGTTTACCGATGAAAGGTTATTCCAGGTATAAAGCTATTGCTGTCACATCGGTACGCACTGCACTTCACCATTTTATTTTAGTTTTTATACATAATAATGGCATAAACAATTAATATTTTCATATAAAACGAGATTGACACAGTTGTAGGTAAACATAACAATATGGCAACACGCGAAAAACTGGCTACATGTCAATATTTGTCAATGTGTGGAGCAGTGTGGCTACAGGTAAAAGAACGAGACGCCAATAAGTTGGTGCTTGACAGAACAAGGACAAAGAATAATGGATATCATAATATTTATGTTTGGTCTGCTTATTGTAAGTCTATAGTTCTTGTTTTGTCTATTCGGTTTACTTTACATATTACAAAGCGAATTTATGTTGCACAGAAATGTTATTATATCTGTGATAAGTTGTCAATAGTTTTTAAAGTTGGTAGACTCTGCTGCATGTCAAAAAAGGAACAACAAAACAAAGCAAAAAGATAACAAAAAACATCTGGTCAAAATTCCCGCTTTTCATTTGTTGCATTTTTAAATTACAGTTAAGTTTAACTCTGTTTTAAAAGTAAGTGGTGAAATATAAGTGTAGCACATAAACTTAATTACATTACTTCTGTTTCGTATACATAGAAGCCATTATATTTTTGTATTGAAAGTGCAATGGCTACCGTCGAAGAATTTGAAACTTTAGACGAAGAGGTTAGAGAACTTATTCAAACCTATAAGCATAAAAGAGCGACTGCGTATGAACCCTGCACACTCGATAATATTAAAGAGTGCCTAATTGGTCTCAGCGAAGTAAGTTACAGTAGCATGTTTTAAATAATTAATATGTCCAAAAATCGTTTTTAATGTCTACCTGCACTTAACTATTTTTAGGAGTTTGGGTTACTCAATATCAATTACATTTTTAATCCACACGTAGACGTAATTGATAATACCATACGCTGTGAAGCCGTCGTCAATCTTATGAATGCAGTATGGACATTATTACAAACTTATAAAAATGTGTCGGAGAAGGCAGCTAATCTTGAAGAGCAGAATCATATCCTGGATCATAACAATAAACAACTCAATGTATGTATAAAATAACACATTATATATAGATACAACTATGAAAGCTTTTTGGACAATTCTGCTATACTTTAAAAGTTGTTAATGCAAATATAATAAAATTTTACAGGGATTAGTTGGGAGGTTGAAAGAAAAGATAAGTTTGGAGAAAAATGAATCTAAAGCATGTGTTGCATCAGCACAAAGGATATCGGACCAATCGGACACAATGTTACACAAGCTGACTGACATGCGTGCCAAGTTGTTACAAGTTACTAAGCAAAAGGAAGCCAATGAAAGACACCTACATAACGAAATCACCAGGCTCAAGTTACAAAATGATAAACTTACTGATAGACTGAGGAATAAAGGTAAATTACAAGACTTTTTAAACAAACGGAATTCTCTAAGTCCCATGTGAACACAAATATAATCTTTTTTGATAATAATTTTGGTTTTGGGTGTATAACAAAAACCATGTTATAACTAAAATGCTGTTATTTAACATCTGGTTGATTTTCAACTTTTGATGCTTTAAACTGTCAAACACCAAGCGGTCACCGGTGACCGCGACCTATTGTTCTTTAATTGTGTCTATAAAACCGGTACTCGACGAGTTAATAATAATAATTAATGAAATAAGAAGATCTATCGATCTATGATTGCGAACTTTCAATATCTTGAATAGTTTTGGAAATTTCTAATAGGTGTGTTCATCTAAAATTACATTAGTTTAAAACTTAGCTGCAGTTTTTTGTTGTGTTCAAAACAATGACTTTAGCAGATAACAGCATCATAGTTGTACTACATCAGTATATAATTATTGACTCAATAGTACAATTTTTGCAGATGTTCACAGTCATCCTAATAATGCATCTCATGCAGCATGTAAAACTTTGAAATCAGAACAAGAAGACTACACCAAACATTTGAAGAAAGTTATAAGTAAACTGGAGGCCAATAATCAAATGTTATTACAAGAAGTTCTCAAACTTAAAGAAGAACTCCTTTTCAGAGGAATGGATCAATTCACTCTAGACCATGGAAAAAATAAATAACTTTCCTATATTCTGTGTCTCAAGTTACCTTTATGAGCTGTGACTAATTGTTTTAATTTACTAATGTTATCAACTAACTGACTGATTAGTAATGTATTTTAATGATCAGTATTATAGCACTTAACTAATGATAATTATGTACAAACTAAACCTGGGTAAGTGATCATTGTTACATTAGAGCTGAGCTCTGAAATGTTAATTAAAATGTTACTAATTTTGTAAGTTTGAATCTCAAATAAAAGTTGATAATTAAATAGTTTTATGTTTATTTTGCCATTTTTAGATATTTTCATACCTACATATACCTCGTGTGTTCATAAGTTTTGAGACAAATGAAAAGTTGCATATCTTTTTAAATAATAAACTTATATTTATAAAAACAATAACAAACATTAAGTAGATAGTAAGTAAAAATTAAATATAATTATTATTCAAAATGACCACCCCTGTTTTTAATACATGCCCTTAGACGATTTGGCCAGTCAAAAATGGCGGCACGAATCTTTTCCAGAGGAATTCGCTTCGCTTCTTGGACAAGAGCTCGCTTAAGTGACTCCAAGTTTGGGTGGGACTTTCGGCAGGCTCTGAGCTCTAATTCGGTCCATAGAGAATAATCCAGCGGGTTGAGGTCGGGGCTGGAGGAGGTCCATTCGTTCGCCGCAATGAAGGCAGGCACATTTTCCTTCAGCCAAGCTTGGGTGGTTTTAGCCTTATGGGATGGCGCCCGAGTCTTGCTGGAAAACCCAATACTTGTTATGGAATAGGGTATTAGACAGGGGTTTCACAACAGTCTCTAGAATGTCACTTTGATAATTTTTGGCTTTCACCTTGACGCCTTGTTGGCAGAAATGAAGCTGAGTGACACCTTCGTACGAAACTCCCCACCATACCATGACACTAGCCGGATGATGAGTACGCGAGACATTCCGTGCTGAAGGTGGGACATCCTTGCTACTTTTGGCATACACTTTATTGTTTTGTCGATTGAACTTTTCTTCGACGGTAAAGATTTTCTCGTCGGTGAAGAGTATCTTCCTCGCATCGTGTCTCCTAAGCAGTATTGGACAACGTTCGCGTCGCAATTGACGAAGGCGATCGTTTAAAAAGTGTACTTTTCTACGGCTATACGCCTTAACCTTGAGATCATATTTCAGTATTCTGTTGACTGAAACATGTGCGACATGGATTTCGGCGAAGTCGCTCTCGGGTGGTTTTAATGTTCGCAGGCGTCCTCACAAAGCGTGGACGACCACTTCTTTGCCGATCATGTTAAGAACTTGTCTCCTGGTATCGTTTAATAGTGTAATACACGAAGTTAAGGCTCACATCAAAACTTTTCAGTTTTCGGAAAATGTCCATAGGTTTTCTTCCCACCTTAAATAATGAAATGACGGTCGCACGTAATTCTTTTGTTCCCTCCATTACGAGAAAATTTAAATAAAATAATCCGAAATCATAGATATTAAAAGTTAACATTCCAAATTCAAAATTAGAAAAAGAAATATACAGCAGCCAGTAATTTTTATAAGCAAAAAGTTTGTCTCAAAACTTATGAACACACGAGGTATATAAACTCATCAAAACAAAATATGGGCCCATCTTCGAAAATTTCGTAGGTATATTTGTCTTGAAATAACTCCAGAGATATTGATTACTAAAATGAAACATTTGATTATGTAGTAAACATGTTCATAAGTAATTACTAATGTTTCATACAAAAGTTTGAGCGTTTTATTAAAGTAGGTAAGCAGAAATAGTGAAGTAGGTACTTGAAAAAAACGTGACATGAACAAATCTTATGTCTTGTCTTCGTCGCGGAGAACCTAACGGGTTACCGGGGCTCCGGGACTCTCCGACGTGCAGGAGAAGGAACGGTTTTTAGTCGGTAAGAGTCTGACACTCCCTCCCGCCTCACCTAGGCGGGAGCAGCCATTCGATGATTTTACCCCCTTAAAAAAAATGTCTTGTCTTCATGGTGTGACTGTAAGAGTAATCGTTGAATGTTGCCGTTTGTAAGAGTTTTATTTGGTTTGTGTGTTAGTTGTGAATGCTATGGCGGATGTTCAATGTCATTTGGACAAGAACACCACTGGTAGGGCAGTTGATCAGCTTCAGGAGGAACAGTTTTAGAGAGTTGTAGCAATTTGTGACAGTGTACAAACGTGTGAAAATGCTATTGAGAGTTTCCTGAGTATGCCTGGGATACCAACAACCAACCTATGAGGTTTTTTGAACGTTAGGAGAATTTTGTAACCGCCCGAGCCTTCGATACAAAATCGAATATTGTATTCTGCCGGTATATTACATATGCCATTGATCAAACTAATATCAAATCAATTTTAAGAAGATGCCCAACGTTCAAATTAAGTTTTTTTCACCTTAAATGACCAGAGCACACCGTGTAGCTCGTTAAGGTATAATCAAAAACATTTGAACTGATCTATGAATACTGGAGGACTCTACTCGTCAAAGATAAAAGATCAAGTTTTTCAGTATCTACTTATTTACAGACTGATATATACCAGTGTGGTGATGGAATATAAACGATTTATGCATACTTGCATCCATGAAACCAACCGTTTCCCTGATTAAATTAATTATGGTCATAAGTGAAATTCGGTTAGTAAGCTAAAGAGAGTTGATAATTTTGAATAAGAGTAATGCTCCAGCTGGGAGTTACATTGAGCGAGTAATCCAACCTCATGGCAGTTCATACACATAAAAAGTGGGTAGCAACGCTCGTTTATAAACAACTAGTTCACCAAAAAAGCTCTTTCTAGCACCAATATTAGAGTTTTGAAGTGTCCTGCAATAAAACTCAGTCTTCTAACTGTTGAATATCTACGAGGTCACCTAAAAAATGCCATATAAAGACTTAAAGCTAAATAAACAATCGACAGGAATCCATAAACACGCTTAAAGTCTGATAAGAACGGCTACCGTAAGTAGGTACTTTTGTGGTTCATATGCAAACAATTCAGTCTTTCGTCGTCATGGGATGGCTCGGCTAAATGCCAGCTGGAAGCTCTTGAAGCCATCGAGAGGCGCGCCAAGAGGCTCATCAATGATGATTCGCTTGTGGATGCAAGGCTTCAAAGCCTCGAACACAGGCGTAATGTTGCAAGTCTTTCGGTCTTCTATCGGATATATTTCGGTGATTGTGCGTGGAAATTGCAAAACCTTATTCCCTCTAGTCCGTTTCACCACCATTTCCGTTTTGCTACCAGACGAACGGCAGGGCGCCACCTTTATATAGTGGACATTCCATCCATTCGCACAAAGCGTTTCGCGTCAAGCTTCCTTGTGCGAACAGCTAAGGAATGTAACTCCTTGCCGGTATCTGTGTTTCTCCATAAATATAACTTGGAGTCTTCAAGTCCTGAATGAAACGAGGTTGGTCATAGGTAGGCGTGCTCCATCGTCGGCCACATCATCGCTTTCCACCAGGCGAGATGGTGGCCAAACGTCGACCTATCAACTATAAAAAAGGCAATTTCCGAATATCTATTCACCCTTCCAATAATACGAAAACTAAATACATATAAGTATTATGTAATTCGCAAATAATTAGCGCTATGATGCGCACTAAGCAAGCCCTCGGATGTTGTGAGCAGACTATTGAACTATGGAGTTAATTCGGATTAATTCCCGATTTAGGCGAAGAACCTGCTTATTAATCAGTTTTTTATACATTCCCAGTACCTAATTTAAACGTTTGTACCTACTCTCATTACCTACTTACGTAGGTAGGTAAGTAAAAGTACTTAGGTATGCACCAGGCCTACCACGTACCTTCTTTAATATAAGGCGTGATGCTAAATAAAACTCATAATGTAATTTTCTCTACAAAATCAATATATCATAAATAATTAGTTCTATAGACTAGGTAAAGCGATACTTGGGTGCCGAAGTTAATGACGACAACTAATAGTGCGTAAACATCATTATGAGAAGCGTGACGTCCATTTATTTACGGCTGGGGTTTCGTTTGTACGTAATACGTTCATAGAATTAATTAAACAGTTTTGTCCGGGCTTTTGCGAGAGTGTCGCGCAGACGGACAAACAAGCGAGACAATAATATCGAAACCGCGATGCTTGGCGTCCAAGCAACCACTCGTTGAGCGCTAAACTGATTCATTCTGTGTGATTCGTGTACAGTGAACATTCTACATTCGACCGCGAAACCGTGCGCGCGCGCCTTGTTTTAACCGCAATCATTTCGTTATCATTAATATTTCTATAAGATTGATAAGATCATTACATCACTGACTGATAAGATTCAAGGACCCAAGTTACAGACGAACAGTAGAGCGCGACTGCTGCATGCAGAAGCTGTGGTTGAGTTAAGTGTGAAATAATAAACTTTACTGTCGGTTAGTGTTAATATTGTGCTAGACTTTGTCGGATGTCGCGGCACGTACCATGGGGACGACGAAAAGACTGAAGATAACAGTGGTTGGCGATGGTATGGTAGGCAAGACGTGCCTGCTATACGTGTTCACTAAGGACGAATTTCCCGAAGAATATGTACCCACAGTGTAAGTAAAGTTTTACTTAATTTTCTTTTAATTTGTTCCGGTAATGTTTTGAGATGGCAGGTGCGGCATCTGCTAGGTCAATAGGGCGATTGCGACAAAGTAAGTACGAAGCGAGTTCGAGCCTCTATATTAGCGAGTCGGCGACGTAACATCGTTATCATCGCTCAGATACCTATCTGTATAATTACACAGTTACACACTATAGCAAAAGGATTTATTACACGCTGACAATGGTCAGATGAGGATTTTATTGATTTTTCCCTTTACGTAGAGTATTTATTACACAGTGTAATATACACTTACATCATTACCTATCCATGGTATTTTACCGTGACTGACTCATTAATAATATTATAAACTAACTTAATGTACATAATTTGTAATTCCTAAATGTGCTTACTTACAACGTAAGAGTAGTTAGATGGTTTGGATCTTTTTAATTTTTTCTAAATGTAAATTAAGATACCAGTAATACTATAAAACCACTACAAATATTAAGTATAAAACAGGAAATCGATTTGTCTTACGTCATTAAAATTTGTACAATACCGTAGAATTATACATGATGACTAATCATACGCTGTAAGGTGCTAAACAAGATATAGGTACCTAGGTATAATCATTTGAGTACAGTAAATCATTTGGTGATAAGCGACTTGCACATTTTGTGTTCTTTGCCATTTCCAGAGTGCTATCAGAAGCATAAGTATTTTTAAAACTTTTCTACCAACCTTAACATAGGTAAAGCCAAAATTAACTTTGTAATGTGTAAAACTGATACCTTTTAGCCATTCCTGAACGCGCTTCTCTGACTACCTACATTTAGTCCTCTAAAGCTGTTTAACATAATTGAAGGTTTCCAAGTTAGCAGTCGATCCTTCCGGTATTTACTCTTGCTACTAAACGATAGTTATCTTAAAACTTTAATCTTATATCATATCTTTCTATATCTATCTCTTGAAATCTGATAGTAGTTTTCTACTTGCAAAGATTCCCTAACTGAAAACAAGCTTATGCGAACTGTCCAAGGCAGTTTGAACGTTAATTTTGCAAGAAGTATTCGCTACCAACGGGCCAATATTATTGAACAGGTACCTACCTACTTAGCATTGCGAGCTGCACTATTTATAAAGTCAAATACGTCGTGGCATTGTTGTATTGTATCTACACGTCGCCGCTTCCTCCTTATGAAACTGGACGCACGCCTACAGCAACTTTGATTTCCTTGCGATCCATCTCTACGTTGACACATTTTCTAGTACATTACGTTTATTGGGTACTTAAAGTAGACATTGCTGTCCTTTGTATTAACGTGATAGAACTGGTTATTAGAGCTATTACATTACATCTTCCTAGCTGCAATTTCCTCATGAGCATGAGTAAAAAACGAGAATTGTTTGAATTGTTTATCTCAGAAAACTTCAACATGGATAATAAGTCCATCGTTTAGCCTTGTGTGTCGCTGTGTTTAAAAGGAAAAATGGCAGTTCGCATTCAATAGCTAACATTATAGTATAATTCGGTATCTGTCGGTCAAATTAAACCAGGAAAAAATTATATGTGGACAGTCAATGGTATTTTTCAATTCTCCTGTTAAATTAAATAATAATGGGTAGGTAAACCAACCTAGGTCCACCACCTCTAACCATTGCTATTGTTTACTAGCGTTATCTACTTAGATTATACTGATGTGAGTTTTATGTCATAGCAATATACCTAATATCAAAGTGTAGATGCGTGTATTCACTAACTTACCAATTACTATACCTACCTAAGCTTGCTTACCACTATCTCTATTTACAATAGTGCTGTAGTAAAAGGCAAGAATATAATTATGTAGGTGCCAGCTTTGTACAAATGATTGGCAGTTACTCCTCTTAAAGCCTTCCATGTTACCGCAGTCGTGTTAAAACGTGCAATGTTTATCACAGGTTCGACAATTACGTCGGTCACATCACGGTGGACGGAGAAGAGGTAGAGATCGCACTATGGGACACTGCTGGCCAAGAGGACTATGAACGGTTAAGGCCACTATCTTACACACACGTAAGTTGTTACTTTTTCAACATAATAATAATTTTACATTGTGCTGATAGTCGTATCTGCCAATGAATTTATTCCTAAAAAGCCTCGATCTCATCATCTTAGAAGGCTAACATTAGATGGTTGAGTCAAGGGCCTGATGCAGAAAGTAATTCTTCTGAACTTTGGGCACCGGTACCTCTTCGGAGATAAAATGCGTGTTGTATTATGTGTATTATAGAGCAACACGGGCCACCGGCGGACCGGAGTGTGTATATTATGTTCCTATCACTATACAATTTCAAAACCTATGATAGTAAATGCAGAATGCAGAAACATTTGTAACTATTACTTACCTACTAAAAAAGAAGCTGATTTTACAGTTTACAATACACATATGTATAGGTACGTCGGCCTAAAGCTATAATAATGTTGTCTCCAGCTATGACGAATGTTTCCAATTTTAGGTAGCTTTTAAATAATTCAAACGTTATTATTGTTTACATGGTGGAATAAATAATTCAAATGTTATTGTTCTCTTACAGACAAACTGCTTCCTCGTGTGCTATTCAGTGGGCACTCGTTCGTCATTCGAAAACGTGATCCACAAATGGTACCCAGAGCTAAAACACTTCAATGAAAAAGTACCCATTGTATTAGTTGGTAAGTTTGTGCAGATCTATTATTTGGAGTTGCATAGAAAACATGTTTCCTTTCTTTGTGCAGTTAATCCCAAACGAATGGGAACTACGAAACCTGTGCTTAAAGCTTACTAAACAGAGATGCTATCTATTATAGTCTTGATATTATCTGTTGCTATTGACTTCCATTGTCTGCACTGTACATTATAAGCAGCAACACATTATAATATTAGTTCCACAAGTTCCAAGTAGTTAAACAACCCGTTAGTTTATGCGATCGTCCGTAGTATATTTTTTGTAAATTTGATAATTATGTGCACAGCAATTTGTCGCTATTAGCTGAATGAGTGCTAACAAGGAAGAACTTAATTACTGCTTTGTTCATTTAACACAAAGCAAGCTTTGCTTAATCACCCTGAATTTAACTGTCAAGCTAAATAAATACCATAATTGTCTAAGTAATTGCATATAATGGGTGATTTCTAAATGATATCGATAATAATAATTGATTCATAGAATTCAAATACAAAATGGAATTTGCACGTAGTCCCATCGAATTATTGAATGGCCAGGCCATGCGATTCAAACACGTGCAGCGCCTCACCACGACGTACCAAACAACGTCAAACTGCGAAACTATGTTTACTCAGTTCAATTAAAATAAACAATCTGACAAAAGGCGCATTCTTCATACTCTAAGTGCCATGTATGTGTGTGTATAAATATTTTAAAACACCATACTTTATAGTTATCTACCTACTTATAATAAAACGTTTAATGAGTAAAATATTTCAATTTCAGCTACTAAAACTGATCTGCGAGCATCGGGCAACGCAGTTGTCACTACACAGGAAGGAAAGAAATTAAAAAAGAAAATTAGGTAAGTCTACATTTATTCCTGGTAAAACAATATCTACTATCAAGTCGAATTACTGTGAAAGATAGTATTGAAACTGAATATTTTTTAAAACAACACAAAAGTGAAAAGTGACAAGGGTTATCGTGCGCGAGCGCCGGCAGCTGTGCTATCGGCTCTTATCACCGCTGATAGTGACACGAGTATTGTGATATAACGACACAGGAACAATTGTTAAATAAATCGGCCGATTTAACCACACTTCAATTTATTAAAACTATTTGCATTACATTCGAATCTAAACACACAAAGTAGCCGTATCTGGGCTGATTTACAGAACAAGAAGTCATTGGTTTGATTCTTAATGATTGAGTTAGTTATTACTGGGACTTTTCAGTTAGAAATGCTCAGTATGTTTTAGTAACATTACCATTGCCCAAACAGGCACAAAAAGGCAACAGGCTTCCTGTTTATGACACTATCATAAACGGCAAAAAGAGTGTTTTAAAACTGTCAATGTAATCCTTGTTTATTCATTTGCAAATTTGTGTGAACTGAACTAAGATTTTAAAGAACCCGTACTTACTCCCTATTAAATAATGAGTAAATATTTTTTCATTATTTCACATATAAATGGATACGCTAGATAAATAATAGATACATACCTGATAATTGAGTTTCTATGAGGCTTATCAATCAGAGTGCTCTCTGCTCTGCAGATAAAGTCAAGGTTGGTGTAACAAGTGGTGCGCCTGCACTTGTTTCAGAGCGGTGCAGCTGGTGGAGTGCTCGGCGCTGGAGAGAGTCAACATTCACGAGGTCTTCGAGGAGGCCGTGCGCGCCGCTCTACGCAAAACCCCCGTGCACAAGCGCACCTGCCAGTATCTCTGACCATCGTCTCCTTACCCATCGGGACACATTACACTTACTTTAAACTTCCACTATTGTATGTACGTCACACAGTAGGAATTTAATAAAGCTATTTATATCTACTCATTTCGATTCCAGATTGAGCATGTTGCATCTTATTACTCAATTATAAATTAGAACTGCACGTGCCTTTGACTAGAAATAGCTACATACTGTAGGAGTTCACTTAATATGAAGTATTATTTTTTGTAATAATTAAAGTTTGCAACATACCAACTATGAGATAGTCAAATTAGTAATACGTTGAGATTTTAGTTAGGTTTAGCAATTGTATGTGCTATTTATGATGCTTTTGTACAAATATTATTTTATTTCGATGTTAAGTTAAATATGAGAGATGTATATTTCATTTGATTAATAAATGTAAATAAAAAGTAGAGAATAATCTAATGTATTTCACGGAATTAATTGAATACAGCCTAATCGTTTGATATGAAAATGTTACGGGATCCTTTAATACAGAGATCATGTCATGTCAGTACAGAGATTTATTCAAGTTAGAAATGCATATAGTCTCATCAAGAATTTAGTGTAAGAGATAGCTGTCGACACTGCCCACGGTAGGACGCGCTGTACTCGCGTGGGTTTACTCGTCCTACTTGTAATGTTTAGCTAATGGAACAACGCATGGCAGGTGTACTTAGACACTAGCCTCAGTCATCCAGACTGAGGCTGACACACGGCTGCCGTTACTCACCGGCTGGCTAATAAGGATTTTCCGGAACGCAAGTGGGGTGACGTCAGTAATATACAATACGTGTATAAATTGTATTATATTTTACTTTAAATTGACTGAATCAGTATTTTTGTAGCTCAGGAAACTAATACAAACAAATTGTTACCCACGATATTGCACGCTGTATTATAGCTTCTATTATAACAGGAAAATGTATGGAAATATGTGTTTACATTATAGAACTTGTTAAACGTGTTTATTTAATGTACAACAAGTCATTTTAAGTCTTATCTGGTTTTCTGGTGTCAAGTATTATTTAATCGACCACCGAACAGCAAGCAGACCAAATTATAATAATCGAAAACTGTTAATGTTTATTGTTTACCAAAAACTCTTCGATTGTAAGTAAATATACGAAATTAAATTATTTTTCACTGTTTTTATCCTAAATTATAATTATGTATCATGTCTTGGGAGAACTAACTCTAGTGGCTGGTTACAAATGTTTTGTTTATACGTTGTTTGACTTGCTTGTGTAACAAGAAAACGAATACCGCCGCACCTACGATGTTTCCCCACGATCGTTCCCGTGGGACTTCTGTGATACATCGTTTCCCAGGTTTCAAATTATCGTTTTACCGAATGTAACTCAAAAAGATTGAATGATTCTAGATTCAATGGCTAAGAAGATTTATACAAACTCTCATCCACTATTTTATTCCCTTAGATATCTATGTCATAGTAGCTGTATGCATGCACAATCTCAGCCCGTTCGGTTTAAAACTGACAAAGATTCGCACAAACATTCATCCCCTATTTTACTACATTACGGGTGGAAATGATCAAAATTCTACCTTACCCATGCTTACGTCATAACATCTACCTGCACGCCGAATTTCAACCCGAACGGTGTAAAACTGACAAAGTTTCATACAAACTTTCATGCCCTATTTTACCCCCTTGTGAGGACTTGATCAAAATCCTTTCTTAGCGAAATGCTCACGTCATAACATCTACCTGCATGGCGAATTTCAACCCGATCGGTGTAAAATTGACAAAGTTTCATACAAACTTTCATCCCCTATTTTACCCTCTTGGAGGTGGGAATAATCAAAATCCTTTCTCAGCGGATGTCTACGTCATAGCATCTACCTGCATTCCAAATTTCAACCCGATCCGTCTAGTGATTTGGGCTGTGCGTTAATAGATCACTATGTCAGTCAGTCAGCCAGTCAGTTACCTTTGAATTATATAAATATAGATTGAGTTAATACACAAAAATGCAAGCTGCAACCTATCACCTTGAACTGAAAAAAAAATTGGAATAGATTAACAAATAAAAGAATGGTATGTATTAAAAAAATGTATAATGTGGCATTAATGGCACATACTGACTTATAGAGAGCGTTAGTTTAACATAGTTTGAATAAGAAGGGAAATTTCGTAAGGCAGTCTATTCATTGGGCGGGTTACTAACTAGCGAAGCAATGAAAAAAAATCTTGCGACCAGCAGAACATCGTCGGATTGGTCTCAAGTTTGTCAGTCAGACCGTGACCTGCATGGCCTAGACTTGTGATGAAACGCCTTAAAAGAAGATGAAAACTGCTTCATTGGCCGATTAGCTGCAAGTACGACTGCCGAGCCAGAGTTTTTAGTCAGGAATAGTATTGTTGAGATTTATTTTTATGTTTTGAACTATTAACATTACATTATTTTAAGCAGTCTTGTAGAGGTAAAAGAACGTCGGCTGTAGTAATATCTCAGTTATCAGTAACAAATGAACTCGCCTTTTAGTCTAATGAAGTCAGATACTCGTCCACATAGAAAGACTGCCTCGAGATTCAGTTCATAACAATAATAGTACCAACTTATGGGATAAAAACAATAAGAGATTACTTTTGGTTTAGAAGTACGAAAATTGTGCGACCTATAGTAGGCCTATAATTGTTCCCTATGATAAATTGCAAGCGACATATTTTTCAAAAAGGTCACATAACATTCAGAATACTGAATTCAGTAGTTTTACTTAAAGTTAAAAGGACTTAAGTGTCCTTAATTAAAATATAAAATTGACATAAAGAAACTTGCAATGTATCACGTGGAACAAGCGCTTTGTACAGTTGTCACTGCACAGGCGTTCAGACGCACGCGAAGTTGAAACACGGCGAGTAGAACGCATTGGGCGCGAAATATTCCGATACATCCACATGTCATTTCTTCTTTGTACGGTCTATTAGTTTGTTCTGCAACAAAACAAAGTGGCAAATCAAATATTAGACTCACAAATGCATGTTGGTCTAATCGTAAACTTTAAAGCTAAGTACTAGTACCGAACTACCGACTCTGTAGGGGACATAACACTTACAATACACTTTTAATGTGTGGGTCATATAGCTAATCCTTATCTACAAAAATCCTAACTACAAAAACGTTTGATAATACATGACATAAATGCATTTAAGTTTATTTAATCTAATCATTGGAATCACAGAGATATCAGTATGAATAAGTTGCGGTGACTTTCGATTGTGTCATGTCCGGCCTCGCTGAACCTCGCATCGTGAAGGCGAGCTATTGATTCATTTCCGGTACTTGAATAGGTTTTATGCAAATAATAATCTTTTATCCGTTTTTAACATCTATGTTTGAAGCGAATAAGATGTATCATTGTGTTACCGCGGCTCATCTGATCTTACTTAAAAATTAAAATAGGTAATATTGTTTTGTTTGTTTTGAGTTAAGAATACCACCTACCTTAGCTAAATTGAGTCCAATCTCAGAGAGTCGCTTGTGCTGGTAAGTGAGCGGCTCGTGTAGTTTGGCGTCGCCTCGCTTGTAGAAGTCGCTGTAGTCGAGGCGGAACGCCAGCGTCTGCAGCGACACCTCCGCGTGCAACGCTAGCTTCAGGATCAACGTCGTCACGTGGCCCCTGGTATATACATGTCTATTATTACCGCTATGCCTCTTTGTGGAGACATAGGAATCTTATAGGCACCAGATTAGAAATAATAGCTGAAGTAATACCACGGAAACAGTTCCTTAAACATGGGTACCGCATGATTTACCAAACATAATAAAATTATGCTATAACCATGTGTTTATGACGATAAGTATAGATCCAGTGTCAGGAAGTTTAGAATAAGGCAAAAAGTTAGTGTTTGGATTGAGTGCTGTAACGGCACTGAAATCTTATCGGAGGCAGGGTGTCCTGTCGGCGCTGTATGAATGGGTGTCATTGTAAGGCGTGTGAGATTATAGTCATAAAAATATTTAAATTATGAAATATAGAAATTCATCTTATGTTACCATGTAATTGCAAGTACATAATTTTATTAATTTATATTAGAAACTTTATTTGAGTCTTTTTTTTTTTTATTTATTGGAACCACAAACAAGTTTACAGTCTTGTGATTACTTTATCATTTTTAAATGAGAATATAAGTATATAAAATGATTCAACGATATGACAACTGATTCAATTTGCTTATCACTCAGTTAACTGCGCATGTATGTATGGATGAAAATAAAATATTATGGTCGCAAATAAAGGAAATACATACATATACTTCCGTTTATCCCCGAAAAAGTATTAAGAAAACCCCTGCAATGGGGATGATGACAGGGTATGAAAATTAAAAATCTAATTAGTCCGTAAGTTAGGTAATTAAAAAATATAGGACACGTATTTTTTTATTTTGTTGTATAATAAAACAATACTTAGATAAAACGAATCAAAGTTTAGGAGTGGGGGCTAAAACGTCATTTCTCAGTATAAAATGTACTGAGAAGTGACGTCACGCGACATTTCAAATCAATATATCTTCGAAACTATTCGTTTCTGTAAGAAAATAAAAAATACGTGTCTAATGTTTTTAAATAATCTACCAGACGGACATTAAAATAAAAATTAGTCGTCTACCCTATTCCTTTTATAAATCCAAAAAACCAATATAAAGCTAAACTTAAATTACAATGAATGAATTTGTTTATATAAATAACTTGTCCTAGAATTAGTAATATTGTGAGTGCTCCTCTCGCCTGTGATACAGGATATTCTTCCTAGTACAGGCATTAAACTTAGTGTGATCTCTGATTTTAAATTAAGATGTTTATCTGTAATATGACCAATTTCTTATAATGAATAAATATTTATTTATTATTATTAATGAGGATGAATTAGACCACCAGAACAATCCACGTTAGCGATAAAATTTTAGAATCACGCGTCACTAAATAGTAAATCAGGCGTAAGACGTGACGTAGTTAGACACGAGGTCGTGTCCC